CACTCACTAAAAAGATCGTACATTACAGAAATAGTTATCTATTTCCAAATAAGTTTTGCATAGTTTTCTTCTTGTTCGTTTTTATTATAACTGGATCATTAGGGTTTTTCTAAAAGAAAAGAACATTAATAGTTCTTAGGATAAAATCTCTCAACAAACCATTTCCGTGATTGGGTCACAACTACCAGCCCCTCGAACATCACGTTACATAGTTTCCTTTTTTTCTCGTACATTCTAATTATACTGAAACAAAGGGCTAATAGATCTGGATTACTATTGAAATAGTCAAAGTCCTAAACGTTTTCCATACCCCTTCTCCCAAACTGCGGTGAAAAATAAATATACTTTCATTAATAGCTCGAAACCCACTACCAATTGTCAAAGTAAAGTAAACCCACTACTTTATTCACCCCAGATTTATAGTAAAGTAATAAATACTTTATCTATTAAAGATTATCCAAATTCGAGTTGAATGTAACATAAGTCTTTAAATTATAAGTATATGTATTGTAAATGATCAAATTGGAAAGTTATATTGATCATTAAAAGTTATAAGACCGATGCCTATTAGAGTAGGTGCCCCACAGCCAATGATATTGTTGTACATTGACTATATGGATCATGATTATTCAATCTATAAAAGGCATTGTTTATATTATGTAAAGCATATTCCATTTGTATGCATTAATATATGCCCTTAGAGTGGTTAAACCATGATGAGAGAATCAAGCAATGATAAGTCTTGATTGTGAGATCCCTATGATCACTTATGGTGGTCATTCTAGAAATGTTTGTAGCCCTAGTATTATCCTGACTTATAGCACAAATAATAAGGTAAGACTATCATATTATTGAATGACCCTATCGACAGGTAGTAACAGATCTCACATGTTAGGGTTGTTTGGTGATAACTTGGTACGACGCATGGGTGCTTGTTATTCAAAAGTTCATCGAACTGACCCATCAGAGGATTTGATATAGATGGTAACCCCAATGTCCATGGAATACATCCTTTAACAGATGATAATGCATGTGGTCCTTATACTCGAGATCATCGGAGCATCATGTGTAACTATTGGTGTAGTTTGACACTAGCCAAAACATAATCCTATATAGGGTTATCACTATGGTGGTGATTGGCTATATTGAGAAGTACACCATGACTGTGGTGGATTGACAAATGATTCATCACTCTTGGGTACAAGAGATATTATCTCGGTGAGATATTTAGTAAGGGACAACGACCTTGAATCTGTGGCTACAATGGGATCGAGTTGGTGCTTGGTTGGTCGATTGGTCCGATAACTGAATCTAAATATGTCCAAGTGGTTTATACTTGAAGCTGACATTATTTCTATGCTTCAAACCTTGATGAGATAATAGATGATGAAAGGATTTGATTGCACGGTAACCATATTGTTGATAGGTAGCGAAAATTCGAATCTGTCGGGTGGCCATGATGCCTTGTTAGGGCCAATTTTGGTATATGTATAATGAGACAATTAATAGGGTGTTGATTGTGATATTACTCACTATTAACATGATGAGGAGCCTACGGTTCACACACTTAAAAGGCAATTTAAAGAAGATAACGAGTGAGGGGCATTTTCATCATTTATTGACTAAGGGGTATTTTGGTCAATCTTAAAGAGCAATTAAATTTGCTAGAAAGGTTGTTGACTGGATCCAATCTCGTATTGGAATTAATATGTAAGATTGATTATTTATGTAAATATATATGTTGTCATATATATATTGTAAATAAATAAAACGTCATTATTTAAATATATATATACTGGTGTATATATGTTTTAAATACTAAAAAATCATTATTAGATGAATACAATAATAATGGCCTAATACACGGTTAGTGATTTTGTTTGGGAATCATGGAAACTAATTATTTAATAAGAGAAGGGGTATATTGGTAATATACTAAATGAGGAAAATTAGGGTGTGCCTATAAAAATGTAGTTTTCCCCAAATTTCCCCATTAGCTCATTTTGGCCGTCGAAGAGAAAACTAAAAGGGATTTTTTCTCTCTTTTTCTTTCTCACTCACTTCTTATTTAAACTTCACAAATCAAACTAGCAAAGTGATTGTGTGGATATCGTGGGTTCACTCCTATCCTTGGAGTGTGTGCATTTTTCAACGATCAAGCAATGGAGCCATCAACGTGGGTAAGAATCTAAAACCTTGAATGGGTTTTTGATGTTCTATAACATGTAAACAACGTATTTCTCATATATGGATTTTTGGGGTTTAGGATTTTAATCGATAAATTTTTATTTTCCATTGCCTATTTCTTTGATTAAATCCTAACAGTGGTATCAAAGCCTCTTATGTGAGATTACGGTGTTTAATCTTTGCTGGGAATATGTGTTTTAATGATTACATGTTTTGGGTTTTAATTTGATTGATTTTGATTTCAATTAATTGGATTAAAACGGAGATTGTTGTGTTTGGGGAATTATTGAAATCTGTTGTGATTGGACTGATTTTTGTTAAAATTGGAGTATTTGTGAATCCCTAGATGCACCACCGTGTGTGGTGGTGCTGGTTGCTGTGACCTAAAGCAACAGCAGCATGCAAGCTGCTGCTACCCTTGGCACAAAGCAGCATGCATGCACTGCTGTAGCCAATCGCGTATGTGCTAGCGTGCGGTTACTGTGTGCTTTGCGCATGGCAACCAATAGCTGCCGTGCGTAGAGGAGGGGATGGTTGCATGTTTCAACACACCACCTTGGCCAACACCCATCATGGTATATAGGGGTTGTGTCCATTGTTCCTAACAAACCTGGTTGAAAAACATGGGATTGTTGTCACATTCATTGTAACGCCTCTGTGTTGCCTTGGGTTGATCATTGTCACAAACGATCTAGCCTTGTTGGCTATGTGTTTACCCATGTAGCCTTGACCTTCACTTTGTGTTTTCGCACAAGTGTTTGACACATTGCGTGTTTTTATGCTCAATTGTCCTGTTTTGGGCAACCTGTGATTTTCCTCTGAGGAAATCCCTCTCATTTATAGTACGATGCTTATTTTTTAGAGATTCAAAATCTCACATGTTACTACATGTGTGAGGATCACTTGAATGGGCTTACATTAGTTTTTAGACTACTGTAGCATGGGGTTTCAGTCTATTTACAGTTAGTTGACACTGGTGCGCGTTAATTTGTTGCAGGTATTTAAATAGCTCATAACGGATTCAATGGTGAATCAATTGACTCATGGTTTGCACCAGTGGATTGTTGACATGTTGCTACACATTTAGAAAGTCTTTAACACTACTGCCCATATGCGTCGATGCGCATAAAATTGCTATTTCGGGCAACTTACGCATTGCTGTAGATGGACTTCATTTTGGGTTGTTTTTGGTGTTGTTGCACATAGATATTGGTCCAAAACTTAACATAATTTTTGCCGCATATTATAATCATTTTGCAGGCCCAACAACAAGGGACTAAACTGAAAGGTATACAACTTGTTGGGTTTAAACACAGCAAGGAATAACATCAAGGGGTAGTTCTTAATTAACCAAGTGATAAAAAATTGTTGTTTTTGATTGATTGTTATATGCATATTCTTGAGATGAAATTGCAAGGTGTTGGTTGAATTTGCCTTTAGACCTAGTTAAATTTAAGGATTGTAATTTCAATTTAAATAAGGTCTGCGTGCCTTGCCTTTCTTTTAATCTCTTGTATTTCTCTCTTTCATCTTACTCCCCTCGAATGTAAATCGAGGTTTCTCTTTATTGATGTAAAGTTAAATTAGATTTTATTTTAATTTAATGTAATAATTGAGGAGAAGAAGCATTGGATTGAAGAAGGTGAGTTTTTAAATTGAAAGTCCTCTTGTAATTTAATTACCTAGGTTGACATACAAATTCCCCAAGGCTTGGGGAATTTGGTTTAGTTAAGGCAATGCACCAAAATGTTTATCTTTATTGCTTAGTTGGCATGCTAAGGTTGAATGTTATGGATATAAATGTTAATAAAGATAATAAAATGATGAGACCACGAGCAAAACCAAAAACCCTCATAAAAGGATATTAAATCTATGATTAACACCTTCCAACATCATAGGCTTAGTCAAACCATTAGTCATTGTAACATTTTCAATCAACAAAGGGTATGCGTCTATCAATGGGAGGCTAAGTTGCATTGGAGTTTCCTTAATGATGTTGGGTAAAACTTAACTAGTAGTTTGGCTTGTTCGATCAACGAAGGTTGAAAAGTACTAGAGGCACATGTAAAGAAGTGCAATTTTATAATGCACAGGATGATATGTGGTATCTACTCTATGGATCCAAGAGTTGCACTTGAGGTCAATGGTTGGTGCCATTGGATTGTCTAATTCGTTTGTTTTCCCAATTTATATTTGAGGATTAATGGTTGGTGCAATTAGTTGGTATAAATTGAGTTTGTGGCCTACATAAATCAACACATTTTTAACTTGATTCAATCAACAAAGGTTTAAAATGGAATTGATGGGATCTTGGCCCACTAGGAAGACCAACGGGCCTTCTCGAGTTTAATAGTGAGGGCTATTAGAACTTGAGTAAAATAGTAGGAGCGTTTAATTAATTAAAAGACCTTGATTAATTAAATTATAACATGATATTAACTTTCTTTATTTTGCAATTGTAGACTCACAAAATGACAACCAACATTGAGTTATTGCGATCGTTCATCAAAATGGGAATCAAGTTTGATGGTGATAAATTTGTTGACTGGTATAGAAGTGTTAACGACACTCTTAAGTCAAACAACGGTTTATACACCATCGAGCAGGCTTTGTTACCAAAGCCCATTAATAATTTCATCCAACAGACTAGACGTTCACACGAGGCTAATGTCAAAGTGACAAGGTACATCGTGTTAGCATCAATGATACCATTACTGCAATTGCAGTTTGAGGATATGGACTTACCTACCACAATTAATATACTTCGGGATTAGGAGAAGTATATGGTATCACAGCCACTATTCATATGCAAGATGGATGAGGGTGCCAAAATTAGGCCTTATATACTCAAGATGTTAGAGTATATTGAGACATTTAAGGTTTTAGGATGTGCTCTTGATGATGGTCTAACAATAGACCTAATCTTACAGTCCCTACCCAATACTTTTTCTCAATTTGTTCAAGACTTTGTTAAGAATAATGAGAAGAAAACACTACTTGAGCTCCTAGAAGAATATGAGGCTATTGAGCTAGGCATAAAAATGTTTGAGGCATTAACGTTAGTTGAAGCTAACTAAAGTGTAGATGATAAGGCTTTGGAGTCATTAGATGGAATGGTTGTGAGAAGGAAGACCGTTTGTCCTTAGGGAATCCTAACCGTTGGATAAAACATTGCAAGGACTTCCTAGTGAACCAAAAAAGATTGTTGATGCATCTTCTTCTAAAGGTATGTTCATGATTGATATAAACTTATCCTCTTACACATCATGGGTTATTGACACTGGATGTCCATCTCACATTTGTACTAATGTGTAGGGACTGTGGCAGAGTAGATCGCTTAGCTGAGGGGAGGTAAACTTACACGTTGGGAATAGAGCTAGAGTTGTTGCTTTAGCTTTAGGTGTTTATCAATTATCTTTGCCTTCAGGATTTATCTTGGAACTTATGGATTGTTATTAGGTACCTTCCATTTCAAAGAATATTATTTTCGTGTCCGTTTTGGATAGTTTTGGATATTATTTTGATATATCTAACGGATTGTTGTCTTTTAGTTTGAATGGTATTCATTATGAAAATGTTAGATTACATAATGGTTTATATGTTCTAGATATGGATAAAAGGATATTCAATCTTGAAAATAAGAAAGCCAAGCATGGCGATCTTAACCAAACATTCCTCTACCACTGTAGGCCAGGTCATGTTAATCAAACTCGCATAGCAAAAATCCATAATGATGGAGTCTTGGACCCATTTGATTTTCAATCTTATGAGGTATGGGAGTCATGCCTTTTAGGCAGGATGACAAGTCGCCTTTCAATAGCAACAGTGAAAGATCTACGAAACTATTTGGCATCATCCATAGTGATGTATGTGGTCTAATGATAGTTTAGGCAAGAGGTTGATATTCTTACTTTATCACATTTACTAATGATTACCGTATATATGGATATATCTATTTGATGAGACATAAGTCTGAATCATTTGACAAGTTCAAAGAGTTTAGGAATAAAGTACAAAACAAGCTTGGTAAGAGAATTAAAGCCTTTCGGTCAAACCAAGGAAGTGAATACTTAAGCTTGGAGTTTGGTGGATACCTTAAAGAATCTGGGGTAGTATCACAACTCACACCTCCGTATACACCTAAGAATAATGGTGTATCGGAAAGAAGGAATCAAACTTTACTTGACATGGTTTGTTCAGTGATGAGTTTTTCTGATCTACCCATAACAATCTGGGGTTATGCCTTAAAGACTGTGATTCATACACTGAATCGTGTGCCATCCAAATCAGTGGATAAAAACTTTATATGAATTATGGAATGGGTGGAAGCCCAAGTTGTCTTATTTGAGAATTTGGGGTTATAATGCTTATGTCAAGAAACTAACGTCAAATAAGCTTGCCCCAAAATCTGACAAATGTATATTTGTGGGATATCCTAGGGAAACTATGGGATACTATTTCTACCAGTCAGAAGAGCGAAAGGTTTTTGTAGCTCAATCTAAGGTATTCTTGGAAAAGGAATTTATCTAAAATAGTACAAGAGGTAGAAAGTTTGAACTCAATGAAGCTCTGACTCCAAAAGATACAGTTGATAAGGAATAGGCAGACGTACCACTAGAGATGGAGGAACATCACGAGGAGGTCACTTAATAGATTTTCGAAGAAAGTGAACCACCTCAAATTACACAGGAGCTACGTAAGTCTAGTAGAGTACGTCATAAGCCTAAGATCTATGATTTTCTCATGACTCAACATAGCGACATACTGGTTTATCAGGATGATGAACCTCAATCCTATGGTGACACTTTTTATCGAATCCAGACTTCATTAAATGGCTTGAGGCCATGAAATCTGAAATGGACTCCATGTACCAAAACCAGTATTGACACTAGTGGATTTACCTGAAGGGAAAAAACCATAGGAAGCAAATGGGTCTTCAAAAAGAAGACAAACATAAAAGGTAACGTGCATACCTATAAGGCACGACTGGTTGTCAAAGGTTTCAAACAAAAGCATGGAATATACTATGATGAAACCTTTTCACTAGTAGCAATGATGAAGTCTATATGGATTATGCTTGCAATAGCTACATACCATGATCCTAAAATTTGGCAAATGGATGTCAAAACTGCTTTTCTAAACAAAAACCTTGAAGAAGATGTCTATATGATAGAGCCTGATGGTTTCGTTCTTGAAGGACAAGCAAGGAAGGTATGGAAGTTGCAAAGGTCCATATATGGACTTAAGCAAGCATCAAGGAGCTGGAACATTCATTTTGACGAAGCCATTAAAGAATTTGGTTTTATCAAAAATGAAGATGAGCCTTGTGTGTACAAGAAAATCAGTGGGAGTGTAGTGACATTCCTAGTATTATATGTCAAGGACATATTACTATTTGGGAATGATATATCGAACTTGCAGACGATAAAGACTTGGTTATCCAAGTGCTTCTCTGTGAAGAATTTAAGGGAAACAGCCTACATCCTTGGTATCAAGATCTATCAAGATAGATCACATAGGTTGCTTGACCTAAGTCAAAGTACATATTTTGACAAGGTATTGAAGAGATTTAGTATGGAAGAATCTAAGAAGGGATTTCTTCCTATGTCACATGATGTTTATCTCTCAAAGGACATGTGTCTAAAATCATCTGAGGAGAGAGATAAGATGAACAAGATACCATATGCACTGGTTATTGGATCCATCATGTATGTCATGTTATGTACTTGGATTGATGTCTCATATGATTTAAGAATTTGTATCAAATATTAATCGCATTCGGGTGAATATTACTGGATAACGGTCAAGAACATTCTTAAGTACCTGAAGAGGACTAAGGATATGTTCTTGGTTTATGGAGGAAAGGATGAACTCACTGTAACAAGATACAATGATGTTAATTTTCAAACTGACAAAGATGATTTTCGATAGTAATCAGGTTTTGTCTTTTCTCTCAATGGAGCTATAGTGAGCTAGAAAAGCTCAAAGCAGAGTACCGTAGCTGATTCTACAGTAGAGGCTGAGTACATTGTGATAAGTGCTTGAAAATACACTTATACTTATGGTTTATAGGTATCATTTGTGGGAAATTAGGATTAATTCGCATGAATTAACTTAATTGTTTCATAAATGCACTTTTCGGGATCACGGGTATTTTTGTTGTGTTTTTAGGGAGTAAGGCCTAAAAATAATATTTGGATGAGAGATGATGTTGGCGAGAGAATTTGTGATGACTAGAAACAAACGGATTGAGAATCGGAGTTGAATTGAAGAAGTTATGGAGCTTTGAAGTGAAGAGGAGATTCTAGATTACGCTCTAGTTTTAGCATGCCTCAGTGTTTCAACTATAACTTGAGTTGTAGATATTGTATCAAGATGATTTTTAAACCGTTGGAAATCTGATTTAATGGGCTAAATTTTATATGTTTACCACATTTCCAGATTCCATTGTAATCATGCTAAAAAATCACCATCTCTGGAGTGCTTAAGAATGATGCAAGGTTAGCAGAGGAATTGGACCATGCCGCAGCACAGTGTCGGGGCACAATCACGACATCTAGAAATTTTTCTTCCGTTTTTGACTAGGAAAATAGGGATTAAGAGTCCTAAACTAACTAGAATTAAGGAAAACCAAACCCTAACCCTTATGGGATATAAATAGAAGTCTTTTAGCATTATTTTGGGAAATTCTTTGAGAGATAAAAAAAGAGAGAACAAAGATATTCAAGAACTAAAGAAAAAAGGAGATTAAAGAAGGCTTGGAGAAGAAGAAATGGAGGAGATCATCATCAACTTCATTAATCCAACCAAGTTTCACTAAGTTTTTCTTCTTCTTTGTTATTATTATTTGTTATGAATAATACAACGACGTTCTCATAATTATTCATGAAGAACTAATTCTTTTGTGATTGAGGGTGATTTCAAAACCCTAGGCATGTCTTGTGATTAATAAAATCTGCATCTTTTTATTTTTTGATCCCTCTTGGTTATGTGGTTATTTCTTTGAAAATAGGGTCTAACTAGATTTTTCTAATTGTTTAAGTGGCCAATTAAATCATTAGGATTAATCTATTAATGCTAATTTAGGTTGTTTAGTACGGAATCACTTTATTAACCTAAATAACTAGTGGTAAAGTGTATGTCTACATACATGGGGGGTAATCACTCAAGATAACTAAACCGACCATATGAGTTTAGTCTTGATTCAGTAGCTCTCTCGCAACTTAATGCTTTTATTACTTTGAATCTAGAGATCGTATCCTAGGTTATTTAATAAATAGGGAATTGGGTTATGACCGTGTCTAGTCCAATGACTCAGTAAGGAGACATGAGACTTATCAACGTTTGGTATTTTCTGAGCTAATGTGATCAAGAGGGTAGGAAGTTAAAAAGTGCTCTTATTATATGCAATCAGTGTCTAGTGGCGGCGAATAAACCTTCAATCTCGTTTATCTCATTGATTTCTCTTTCGCTATTAGTTGCTTGATTTACATTGTTTGCTTTTAGTTTGTTAGTTTTTGTTGAGTTTTTATAATTCGTGACAAACCCCGTTAGAAATAGATAATTAATTAAGTTCACAAATCCTCTGCGGGAAAGACCCTTACTTGTTCTTTGTTACTACACGACTTTGCATTAGAATTTAGTGAGGTAAAATTAGGTGTTGCATTTGCAAGCATCAATTTTTGGCATTGTCAAATGCAGCCAAAGAGGTGGTTTGGATTAGGAAGTTCATTACAGAACTTGGTGTGGTTCCAAGCATTGTTGATCTAGTACAGATATTCTGTGATAACAATGGGGTCATTGCTCAGGCCAAGGAACCACGGTCTCATCAGAGATCCAAACACATACTCAAACGTTTCCACTTGATCAGGGAAATTGTTCAGAGGGAAGATGTGCAAATAATCAAAGTACCTATCGATGACAACATCTTAGACCCGCTTACAAAAGCTTTGTCGCAGTAGAAGCATGATAGGCACTTGGCCTCATTTGGTATTAAATACACAGATGATTAGCTATAGGTACAAGTGAGAGATTGTTAGAGTAGATGCCCCAGAGCCAATCATATTGTTGTATGTTGACTCTATGGATCATGATTATTTAATCTACAAAAGGCATTGTTTATATTATGTAAAGCATATTTCATATGTATGTATTAATATATGCCCTTAGAGTGGTTGGACCATGACGAGGGAATCAAACAGTGATAAGTCTTAATTGTGAGATCCTTATGATCACTTATGGTGGCCATTCTAGAAATGTATGTAGCCTCAGTATTATCCTAACTTAGGGCATAGATAATATGGTAAGGCTATCATATAGTTGAACGACCTTATCGAAAGGTAGTGACAGATCTCATATGTCAAGGTTGTTTAGTGCTTCTTATTCACGAGTTCACCGGACTGGCCCATCAAAGGATTCAATATAGATGATAACCCCAATGTCTATGGAATACATCCTCTAACAGATGGTAGTGCATGTAGTCCTTAGACATAAGATCATCGGAGCGTCATGTGTAACTATTGGTGTAGTTTGGCACTAGCCAAACGTAATCCTATATAGGCTTATCAGTATGGTGGTGATTGGCTGCATTGAGAAGTACATCATGGCTATGGTGGATCGACAAATGATTCATAACTCTTGGGTACAGGAGATATTATCTCGATGAGATATTTAGTAAGGGACAACGACCTTGAATTTGTGGCCACAGTGGGATTGAGTTGGTGCTTGGTTGGTCGATTGGTCCGATAACCAAATATGAATATGTCAAGGTGGTTTATACTTGAAGCTGACATTATTTCTATGCTTCAAACCTTGATGAGATAATAGATAATGAAAGGATTTAATTGCACGGTAACCATATTATTGATAAGTAGCGAATATGTTAAATCTAAATCTGTTAGGTGGCCATGATGTCTTCCTAGAGGTCAATCTTAGTCTATGTATAATGAGACAATTAATATGGTGTTGATCACGATATTATTATCTACTGACATGATGAGGAGCATATGGGTCACACACTTAAAAGGCAATTTAAAGAAGATAACGAGTGAGGGGCATTTTTGTCATTTATTGACGAAGGGGTATTTTAGTAAATCTTACAAAACAATTAAATTTGCTGGAAAGGTTGTTGCTTGGATCCAATCATGTATTGGATTTAATATGTAAAATTGATTTTATATATATATATATATATATTGTAAATAAATAAAACGTCATTAATTAAATATATAANAGTTGGTGCTTGATTGGTCGATTGGTCCGATAACCAAATCTGAATATGTCAAAGTGGTTTATACTTGAAGCTGACATTATTTCTATGCTTCAAACCTTGATGAGATAATAGATGATGAAAGGATTTAATTGCACGGTATCCATATTATTGATAAGTAGCGAATATGCTAAATCTAAATCTGTCAGATGGTCATGATGTCTTCCTAGAGGCCAATCTTAGTTTGTGTATAATGAGACAATTAATAGGGTGTTGATCACGATATCACTAACTACTGACATGATGAGGAGCATTCGGGTCACACACTTAAAAGGCAATTTAAAGAAGATAACGAGTGAGGGGCATTTTCGTCATTTATTGACGAATGGGTATTTTAGTAAATCTTACAAAGCAATTAAATTTGCTGAAAAGGTTGTTGCTTGGATCCAATCCTGTATTGGATTTAATATGTAAAATTGATTATATATATATATATATATATATTGTAAATAAATAAAACGTCATTAATTAAATATATAAATTGGTGTATATATGTTTTAAATACTGAAATCATTATTAGATGAATAAAATTATAATGGCCTAATATCCGGTTAGTGATTTTGTTCGGAAATCATAAAAACTAATTATTTAATTAGTGAAAGGGTATATTGGCAGCATACTAAATAAGGAAAATAAAGGGGTGCCTAGAAAAAATGCACTTTTCCCCAAATTTCCTCATTAGTGCATTTTGGCCACCCAAGAGAAAACTAAAAGGGATTTTTTTTTTTTTTTTCTCTTCTTTTTCTCACTCACTTCTTCTTTAAACTTCACAAATCAAAATAGCAAAGTGATAGTGTGTTAATTCTTGCCTTTGTATGGATATCGTAGGTTCACTCATATCCTAAGAGTGTGAACATTTTTCAACGATCAAGCGCTGGAGCCATCAACGTGGGTAAGAATCTAAAACTATGAATGGGTTTTTGATGTTATATAACATGTAAATAATGAATTTCTCATATATGGATTTTTGGGGCTTTAGGGTTTTAATCGGTAAATTTTTGTTTTCCGTTACCTATTTCTTTGATTAAATCCTAACAAAGCCATGATAACAAATTTTTATTAAGCCATACTTGCTTTGCGCTATGAAATGCAACAACTTTATTTTATTTTAACGTACTTAACCAAACGTCAGAAATCCAACTATATTTGTTAGAACATATTTCCGTCATTAGGCATTTCTAACCGATTTCTTTTGTTTCAAAACAACAGAAAACAATAATCGGTATCTCGTTTCTTAACTACCAAACCAGTGATTCCTTGAAAAATTTTCCACGGGAAAAACAGACATTGAACCAACATACTTGAAATAAAGCAAACTAGCACTATAAATCCTCATGCCTGTGGAATGATGGAAAAGCTAGATATTAAGAAACAAATAATCAAGAGGGCAGTCCCGCAGAAAACTCTTCTATCATCACCATGGCATTGCCTTTGAAAGCCCTCCCAGTATCGTTGTTGCTTTTAGCTTTTATATTGCCGTATTTCCTTGCTAATGCCCGTCATGCAGGGGGAGGTCATCATGAAAACTCAGTAGCACGTGCGAAGCACTATGGATCAAAATTGAAGCCCAGTCGTTGGCAAAACGCACATGCGACCTTTTACGAGGGAAACGCAAAAACATTCGGTAAAATTAATATTCTTAAACCGTGGCTTGGAACATAAAATACCTTTCCCATATATAGTAGGACCGTGTAAAAACTTACAATTTCGATTTGAACCTTCTCCCTGTTGGAATTTGTTTTTTTATTTTCTTTAAGTTTACATGGACCGAAAGTTTGACATGTGAAACCATCTACTTATGTAATCATAATATGCTTTGAACAAATTTTAACGCANTTGAAGCCCAGTCGTTGGCAAAAAGCACATGCGACCTTTTACGAGGGAAACGCAAAAACATTCGGTAAAATTAATATTCTTAAACCATGGCTTGGAACAAAAAATACCTTTCTCATATCTAGTAGGACCGTGTAAAAACTTACAATTTCGATTTGAACCTTCTTCCTGTTGGAATTTGTTTTTTTATTTTCTTTAAGTTTACTTGGACCGAAAGTTTGACATGTGAAACCATCTACTTATGTAATCATAATATGCTTTAAACAAATTTTAACGTAACCACAGGTTTAGTACAACATCATGTTTTTCGAAGAAAAAAAGGGAATTTTTTAAAAGCGTGTCTAAATAAAAGAGAGTTGGACCCAATAGAATGATTAGTTCAGGGTATGATCCGAAATTCATTATACGTTGACTTCCAGTTTTGTCTTGACTATTTGCAGTACTCCTAAAGTTTATGCTGTGAAAATATATGATTACAGGTGGGGCTTGTGGTTATGAGGATGTAGCTACACAAGGCTATGGCACGGGTACAGCAGCGTTGAGCAAAACTTTGTTTAACAACGGCCAAACTTGTGGTGCTTGTTATGAGATCAAATGTTTCAATAACCCTCAATGGTGCAAGCCTGGACAACCATCTCTCTTTGTCACGGCCACCGACCTTTGCCCACCAAATTTGGCTCTACCAAATGACAATGGAGGATGGTGCAACCCACCTCGTACACATTTCGACATAGCCTACCCTGCATTCTCTCAGATTGCTGAGTACAAGGCTGGCATTGTCCCAATCCAATATCGAAGGTTCGCTTCTTTCGTTTCATCGTCTACATATATAAAATCCTAATATTATGATTAACAAGTATTTTCTAACTACTTTTCCAAGTGCTCGTATTTGCCAGTACTTTTAACAAAAGAATGAGGAAGCTACGGAACAAGATAACACATAATCCTAAAGCATGAAATGAAGGTATAACTTGTCTGCGTTTCATTATTTATTGCAGACTTTCATGTCAAAAGAAAGGAGGGATTCGATTCACAATTACTGGGAATCCTTACTTCAATTTAGTCTCAGTATGGAATGTCGGAGGCGCAGGAGATGTTGTTGGCGTGGCAGTGAAGGGTGATAGAAAATTGAAATGGACGCCTATGAAACGAAATTGGGGTCAAAAGTGGGAGAGCAATGCAAAGATGACTGGAGAGTCGCTATCCTTCAGTGTTAAAGCAAGTGACGGTAGAACATCAACCTCATGGCGTGTTGTGCCGAACAACTGGCAATTTGGCCAAACTTTCGAGGGAAAGAACTTTAGTTAGAGAACGCAAAATCTTTTATTCTATTGTCAGCTGCTCCATCTTCTTTGGAGTTGAATGATAGTTTCGTTTGTCGTATTTGATTATTCCTAGCCACGAGAAAACCATGCCTAACACCAACAAGCCATTACGCTTTAAGTGCTCAACTGTAGATTCTTGTGTAATAAGACTCTTTATATGAACTAAAGAGTAAAAAGTTTGTCCATAAAAATAAGAGTTTAATAGACTCTTTATTCTTTAAATATAAATTAATGAGTGAGTTTAGAAATTTCACTCTCTATTCCTATTTTATTTAATAAATTACAAGTTTCTATGCATTTTATTATTAATTCTCTCTCCTATTAAGTATCTCTCTTATTTATTAAGTCTAATTTAAAGAGTGTATTAGATTTGAATATAAATTTTGTTCTTTATATTTAGAAATTAATGAAAATACTATTTATTTATATGAAACGTACTCTTTACCATTAGAGATGCTCTAATAATTTTAGTCAAATGAGTAATTATATCTCTAGATATTAAACCAAAAGAGGCCGTTGAGATCCTAAGCTGTAGAGTTGTTTACCAAGTTTGTAATTTGAATCTAAGCAAAGTTAAATGCTCTTTTTTCCGTTATACGTTCTTTCACCTAAAAAAAATAATTTATCATTAATTTTTTTCCACCAGGCCCTCGTGTGTGCATGCATCGTAAACATGATAACAAATCCTAACAATAAAATATTGAGTTTTAGCGTTCGAGTCTTTCTTGCTTTGTTCATTGGATAGGAAGTGGAAGTTGTATGGATAGAATCTGAAACGGAGAAGCTCATGTACTTATAGTTACAATTTAGTGTTAAACATAAGGAAAAAAAAAAATATTTCTGGTGGCAGCTCAATTTCTTCTGTAATGATACTTAGTGAGGAATAAAACGTCGCCTGAGGTTCTTCTTCTTCTTTTTTTTTTTTTTTTAAATAATTTCTTTTGTATTCTCAAAATACTATAAGATCTATAGGTATTAGCTATTTAATACTTAATGGCAATTGGAATGAGAATAAATAAATAGCTATGGGTATTAGCCATTAATGCTTGAAACTCTTAATTCTTCTTTTTCTTTTTTTCTTTTTTTTTTTATTATAAATTTCAGGCTTGTGGATGTCATCTTCATCATCTGAACTGCCAAAAGCTTGAGAAATAGCTACCCTCTTCTTTACTCCGTTCATTTTTATTTTTTTATTTTATTTTATTTTTTGAATCATAGTTGATTCAAGTGCGCTATGCTTCTGTAGAAATTTATAAGTTTTTCTAGATTTCAAGGTAATGTAAGTTATTTTTTATTGGTCTTACCGAGTCTCAAAGGCTCAGGTCCATGATTATTCCAAGAAGATTGAAGCCTTTGCCTCCAAATTAGCTTCTCTATTGATGAGTGAATTTTAGTTGATATCTTGTTTGTTGTTTTCTGTTGAACAGTGGTGGGACTGATTTCCTTCTCTTCTCTTCTTTTTCCAATTGTCTTAGTCAAATGAGTCATAGATTTGGTTCATAGCTTTGAAAGTTCCATCGTGATTCTGAAAGTAAATGTTGGAGTAAATCAAGAAATGATTGATATGCTAGAATGAATCAAGGAATGACTTATATGCCAGAGTAACTCAGGGATTGATTGATATTACATTTAATATCAATATTCCGCTACCTTTTACTTCCTGATTATGACATTATGACAAATATTATATTCCCTTTTTATTCATTTGCACTTTAGTATAAATAAACAATGCATACTTGTGGAAAACATACAATTGAATAGAAAAATATTCTTCTCCATTCTTTCTCTCTGGCATATTCAGACAATCTTTATTTAGAAAGTATTTGTCTAAGCTTATAAGCTGGTCAAACTAGCTTATAAACTCTAAAATATACTTGTGCAAAACATACAATTGAATAGAAAAATATTCTTCTCCATTCTTTCTCTCTGGCATACTCAGACAATCTTTACTTAGGAGGTATTTGTCTAAGCTTATAAGCTGGTCAAACTAGTTTATAAACTCTAAAATTAAGCTGACATATTTGTTTATAACTTTTTTGAGCTTATAAGTAAAAAAAAAAAAAAAAAAAAAAGTTGGAGGGGAGATACTTTTTATTTTATTTTTTGCTTATAAGTATTCTGTTTATAAACTAGTTTGACCAAGTATATTACCACATTATCCTTGTTTAATTTTAAAATTCCATAGTATACCCTTGTTTTTATATTTGAAATAGGTCATATTATTATCTGTTTTTATTCAATCTGTGAAGCAAAAATTTTCTTCCACGAAGAGTGCTCTCTCTTCATCAAGGTAAATACCTTAATTGAGCATGTTAATGGTTCTTTTTTTTTTTTTTTTTAATTTGAGATTTTGTTCTTGTAATTTTCTAGTTTAATGGTGTAATTTCAGGGTTTATAGCTTCTTGTTTAATTTAATATATTGCTGTCTTTGTTCCTTTGTGTGATTTTTGTAGTGATTTGATATGATCTATTTACTTGATCTTGAGTTGCATATTAAATTCTCTAGGTTTCATTAACTTTAAGCCTTTAACAGTATTCTCAATCAACTTAGATGTTTTGTCAATAGGAGGCCGTCGAAGAAATTCTATCATGGAATACATAAAATAAGAAGAAAAAGAGTATTAATGCATAATTAACGCACCAAGTCCTTGCTGATCCCCCCTAAGTAATTTGCTCCCTGCAGCACCCAGTTCCTCAAGCTTTGTGGGCCTATGATAGTACAGTCAATGAATCATGTGATTGAAACCGCAATAATTGACAAGTGAGAGCACAAACAAAAAGCAATTAACCAGATACTTGTCTTCCACATCACAAGCATTATCAATGTAAGTATGTAACCAATACTTGTCTCCATAATTAATGCTCAGACTCTATTACAAATAATATAATATTTTGAGCAGTAGTCCCCTGTTCCTTATTACTATTTCGCCTATTTTCTTCACCTGTTGTCTCTATCAATAACCCATTTGCTTGATTTTGACTTGCACGTTGAAGTCAAGGTTTTAGAGTTTAATTGAGTTGAAATTATGGTTTTTAAGTGTTGAAATTTTGTGACTTTGTTGTTATTTATTCTTCAAAGTTTTGAATTTGATTTATTATTTTCTATTATATTGTTGAACATGGATTGATATAGTTTTATGATCAAGTGTGGGCAGGTCCACTAGAAACAATCCATTTGGGATCATTTTTTCTTAATATTTGATTCAGTATTTGATTCAATATTCCTTCAATGGATTGGTTTGCACTTCAGTAGAGAATTTGTTTTGCAATTTTGATCCATTTCTTGTGAATGACTTCGTATGGTTTTCTCATCTTTCAATCTAAAATTCTAGATGGATAAAAGTACAACAAAAGTAACACAATCTCAAGTATCAGCAAAATTGAATGACATGCTTCACCTTAATTTTATTGAACTTTGCGAAAAAGAAATTAGAAAAGACATTGGGATGCCACGAAAAAGGATTGGACTCTTTTCAAGCAATTGATGCGAGGGGAGACAGGTTTAGGTTGGGATGATTTGAGAAAAACAATTATTGCTAATGACGAATGGTGGAATGATAAAATAAAGGTAGTTACAACTTTTTTTTTTTTTTTTTTTTAATGTATGTTTTCTTTTAATTGATATTAATTGTTTGAAATGTCACTAATTTTCTACATTAACAACATTGCAGGTGAATAAAGAATATAAGAAATTTAAAACAAGGATTTGTCATTAATATGGTACCGCTATGATGCTCTGTTTTCTAATATTACTGCCACTGGTGATCGAGCATGGGCACCTAGCCAAATTGATGCCCTCAACATTGAAAATGAATTTGCAGGTGAATCATTAGGGATGAGTGAAAATAGAGATGATGAAATTGATGTTGATTTTGAAAGGGATGATGACAATGATGTGGTAGAAAGAAATATAGAAGAACTTGAACATGTCCCCATCAAATTCCCATCTTCATCTCTTAATAAAAGAAAATTTGGAGGAACCAATAACATTATGAAGAAAGGGAAAAGCTCGGTTGCATCATCATTGAAAGAGAATATAGATTCCCTTATTGCTATGCTTAGTGATAAGAGTTCTGCCGAATCTTTTAGTTCGTTGCCACATGAACCAACAATAACAGAATGTACGGATATGTTAAAGAAGATGCCTGGAATTGAAATATCGAGTCCTCTTTATTTTTATGCCTCTAACCTCTTTACTAAGAAAGATATGAGAGAACACTTTTTTTGTCATGATGATAATGAAGTTCATTTGAATTGGCTGAAGTATAACTACAAGAAGTCAGAGGGAAAGAGTCCATAGTCATTTCTTTTATTTCTTTTATTTCTTTTATGTCTTATCCCTAGGATTCTTTGTTCATTTCATTTTTATTTTTATTAATGTTGTTGTGTTTCAAACAAAGTAACTTGTTTGTTGAATGATAAATTTGTTTGGATAATTGTGATGAGTGACCATTGCAATGAAGATATTTGTTATTATTTTCTATTTTTTGTTATTGAAGACATATATTTGTTTTTCATTTTTCAGTTTAATGGAGCTGTGGGATATTTCAAATTTGGTTTCTACTTATTACAATTTTGTGGTTGATGGCCATGGCGATAAAGAGGATGAATTACAAGCTTTGGTGAGTCAATGGGAAGAACAAAATCGTAGTTGGATGACTATTTGTGAGATCACAGTTAAGTGAATTATTTTATATTATATAAATTACATTGATAAAATCCCATGTCGTACTTCTATAAGAACTGGTCACATGTTGATCTAAGAAATATTGGAAGGGAATGAAAATCATTGTTATCAAGATTTTCGCTTGACAAAATCTGTCTTCCTTGATTTATNCAAAATCGTATCTGACACTTCAATTTTCAAAAACTTGATTGAAGCTTGAACGGTCAGAACAACCGTTTTGCTTCAAACCTTCAAAGTGTGCCATCTTGGACAGAATCGCGAACAACCTGTTGGAATGGTGACATTTCTGGTAGAAC